TGGGCCTACCACAGACCCACCTCAATAGCAGGCAAACCTTATTTAATAAACATCTGCTCTTATTTTTCTTCTGCAATGACCCTTTGAAGCCCTCAGGTGCATTATCTCATCCCTAGCACAGAATGTCTTTTTCTTTTTTTAAAATATATTTGATTGATTTTTTTTACAGAGAGGAAGAGAGAGGGATAGAGAGCCAGAAACATCGATGAGAGAGAAACACCAATCAGCCGCCTCCTGCACACCCCCCACTGGGGACGTGCCCCTGACCGGAATCAAACCTGGGTCCCTTCAGTCTGCAGGCCGGCGCTCTATCCACTGAGCCAAACCGGACAGGGCCACAGAATGTCTTACATACCTAGATTCCCCTTTCTTTCTCTAAATCTCTCATAAATGTGGGAGTCTGACTCTGTCATGTATGTGGGATCCCCATACAAATGCATTAAATTTGGTTATTTGCTCTTGCTAATCTATCTCATGTTTACTTGATTATTAGGCCAGACAGAAAAACCTGGAGGGGAGAGGAGTGTTTGTTTCTCCCCCACAGAGGTTGGTTATGCCTGTGAGGGGTCTGAAAAAAGAGGATTAGTCTGGCTTTTCTGCGTTAATCTAATTCTAGATACACAAAAACAATGGACAGGGCTTGGTGAAGGCAAAGATAAACCTTTTTAAAGGTCTGGGAGGTGACTACCCACCATGACCTGCTTAGTTGGGAATTTTATGAACAGGCCACCCTGTGATTTGCTACACAGAACCCTTTTTTGTTCACACTAGTGCAACCCAGAAACTAAATTAAAAATATATATATATTTATTAATTTTAGAGGAAGGGAGAGAGAAGCATAGATTTGCTGTTCTACTTATTTATGTATTCACTGGTTCATTCTTGTATGTGCTCTGACTGGGGGTTGAACCCCAAAACCTTGGCATATTGAGACAATGCTCTAAGCAACTGAGCTACCCAGGCAGGGCCTAAAACTTTAATTTGTTAAAGAAAAAAGTATTGGCCCTGGCAGGGTAGCTTAGTTGGTTAGAGCATCATTACAATACACCACAGTTGGGGGTTTGATCCCCAGTTAGGGCACATACAAGCAGCAACCAATGACTGCATCCATAAGTGGAACAACAAATCCATGTTTCTTTCTC